AAACCGACAGCAGGGGAAAAATAAATCGTATACGTTATTTTCATGGGAAATACCGCTATCATGAACCAGACATTTTCTGTCGCGTCAACGAATTTCGCGGCCGCCACATGCTTCATAATGTCGCGGTACGGTAGGGAATTTTCTACGGTTTATAAGTTCGTAAACGTATCGGCTTTTATTTTTAAACTTATTATCAGGGTCGAGGGCTTTGGTTTACAAAGAAATCAGACAATTAGCTTTCTTTACACGACTTCAAAACGCTAGCGGGGAGCCCGATGTTCCACCAATGACAGCGATTCTCTCAGTAGCGTCGTGCGAAATACTCATTGTTTACTCGATTATCGCCCCATTCACAAGTTTTCAGAGACAATGCCGGCGGGAAAATAGACGCCACTAAGCCCCGAAATCAGGAAATTTTATCGAATTTTAGCGAAATTTTGTAGAAAAATCGGGATGCAACACCCTAGATTTGAAAATGAGTATGAGGGCGCTGAGCTAGGAGTATAAGGGCGCAGCGCCCTTGTTCCATCGTCTGGGGAGAACCCTGAGTATGGATATTTGCCTGTAGGTGGCACTGCTGTATACAGCACATAAAAACTTCAATGCAGATTCCACTTCAGATATCTTTTGTTTGAGGAAACCTTTCTATTGTAGGTGAATGTCATTCAGTTCTAGGCATTACATGCAAAGGTCCACACACCTTTTAATACTAATAGCCTCTGACAGGAAGTTAGATAAAAGGTCCCAGAAAAGGTTATGATAATCTCTTTCCTGCTCTATGCAAGTCTGTTGACTTATTGAAGCTTAATTAGGAAGTGTAATGCAAAAATAATAAAGTACTTCACAAAGAAATGAGATCTTTGATATTATTTGTCGCTGGTATTTGAATGACATTCAGTCCTTGACAACAGTGCAAACAGCCCCACCTGGCACTTAAATTTACTGTCTTGTACTTTTGTTTTCATCATATCTCTTTTGTGTATTTGCTTGTGTTTCTGTTATTATCTTAAAAATAGGCATGTCGAGTGTACTGATAGAAAGTTAGATAAAAGGTCCCAAAAAAGGTTCTCATGTCCTGTTTTCAAATCCTGCTACAATGTCTGTTACCTTATGGTGAAAATGCAAAGATAGAATGAAGAAACTCAAAATAATGACTGAAACAAAAAATTTACAAACGCTTCAAATACTGTAAATCACGATTTTTTGCAGTGCTTTTTTATATTTGCAGTTTGCATACTAGTCATTTCTGTACCGCGATCTTACCATTAATATTAACAATTCACCGACTTTCTTTCTAATTTTGTTGTTCCTGCTGCTACCATGAATGTATAGTCCTGCAAACATGTCCATTTCTCTCAGACCGCTAACATTTGCTACCATGAACAATTTTCAAAAAGACATGAGACCATTAATTTTATCTGAAGGTCATTCAGTCCTTGGCATTGCATGTAAAGGTCCACACCATTTTTTTCCCCACACCCCACCTGGCACTTTCATTCTAAGTTCAATTATATTAAATGATCATTATCATAACATCTCACCTGGACTGTAATTAGGAACCATTAACCATCAGAAAATTTACGATGACTGACATGACTTCAAAGACCATAGAGGCTGTATCATCACCATTACTATAATTATGTTCAGGTCATGATCCCTTACCAAAACCTGGCCTGGTATAATTATGTTAAGGACATGATCCCTTACCAAAACCTGGCCTGGTATTTTCCAGGGACAAAAAGTATGATATAAAAATATTAAAAGACAACAAAAAAAGGCAAAAAAAACTCATCAGGAATACAATTTATCTGCATATTGTTGATAGGAATTGTTTCCATTTCATTTACGCAAACATCTAGGCCCCGGTTTGGAAATGTGACCTACATGTAAGCATTAGAGGGTTCTAACAAAGGTGCCTGACATAAGCTGCTGGTGTGTTGCGCCAAAGGGCGGTTATACCGGCTATACAGATACAGATACAGATGGTACTAGGCATCGAAATATAAGTTAAGTGAGAGAAGTACTGGCTGTGTATATTTAGAAAATTCCAATATCCTACATGACTGTATACAGTGTTCGAAATACCTGTCTGCAGTCTGCAATCTGCAGATAGATTTTCAAGATTGCAGAAGAAAAATTTATACAATTGGGAAAAATTGGCACTTGGGATTTGGCGCTTTTGGCCCCAAGGACAGACAACACTTAAGCTCCTGTTCTGAAACAACAGGAGCTTCTTCACTAATTTGCATCAACCTTGTCTTGACTTGTCTATCTTTTGTTTCCTTTTGGACTTCAAAAAATTAATTTGTCTTCACTAATTTGCATATCAATCAATAGTTCATGCTTATGAACCTGCAAGATTGTAGTATGGAGGCTTGTGTAGTTGCAGAAAGTATTTCCAAATTGCAGAACAAAATTTTGACTCTTCTGCAATATTGCAGAGCACTGAAAAAAAGTATTTCGACCACTGGTATATTATACCAACCTGATGAAATTATTTTTGAGAGCTGCCCACTGTTGCCTGCAACTGTTACAGTATAATCAAATACTGGCTATACCACTTCTACAAAATGAAATCTACCACAGGGCAGAGAAATAATCTTACCTTGGTGTCGCAGGGCCTTGATCTGTTTAACAGCCTCCTGTAGAATGGCACATTTGTCAGCTTTGATGGTCATGAGGTTTTCCATGTTGGAGGAGATGAGTTCAGCCAGCTCTTCTATGTACATCTTTTCCTGCTCCCGTCTTCGTTTCTCCTGGACACATTTGCTCATCACAGTACTGGAGCGGAAAAAAAAACATGGTTAGAGTGATTACACCAAGGTTACTCAGACCATCCAAGGCTTGGAATAGCACCTTAATTACTGCGGGTAAAGTGCTGGTATTTGGTCAACAGATTGTCTACCTGCACCTAACCTGCACTGGTCCATGTACTGGTTATATGCACTATTAGAGCTGTGCAGGTATTTCTGATGTCTACCTGCACCTAACCTGCACTGGTCCATGTACTGGGTATATCCAGGTTAGTGCAGGTAAAATTGGAGCTGTGCAGGTATTTCTGATGTCTACCTTCACCTAACCTGCACTGGTCCATGTACTGGGTATATGCAGGTTACTGCAGGTAAAATTGGAGCTGTGCAGGTATTTCTGATGTCTACCTTCACCTAACCTGCACTGGTCCATGTACTGGGTATATGCAGGTTACTGCAGGTAAAATTGGAGCTGTGCAGGTATTTCTGATGTCTACCTGCACCTACTGTAACCTGCACTGGTCTATGTACTGGGTATATGCAGGTTAGTGCAGGTAAAATTGGGGCTGTGCAGGT